TGTCAACCGAGGGGGATCAAGTCCAGTGTCTCTCTAGCCTGAGCTGGAGGAAAGCCCCAGCTCCAGGCAGAAGACCCAGAGACCCAGGCCTTGAGTCCTCAGTCTAGACCAGATGGGGGAAGGAGTCCAAACCCCAGGGCCAGTCAGGAAGGTAGGAGGACCTGCCCATTGATGTGATGTAAGGGGAGTTCCCCTGGGTGTGGCCTACATTTATCTCTTATCTTAGAAGAGATGAAAGGAAAGAGAAGTGAGCATAGAGAGTGGGGGACCGCCTATAACTAAGAAAGAAGAGCCAGGAACAGAGTACATCCTTTGGACCCAGGGTCTCTTGCTGAGAAACTCCTAGAGCCAGGGGAAGACTGATGACAAGGACCCTGCCCCAGAGTCAACAGAGAAAGAAAGCCCTCCCCTACAGCTGGCACCCTGAATTCAAACTTCTAGTCTCCTAAACTGTGACAGAGTAAATTTCTGTTTGTTAAAGCCACCCACTAGCAGCACTAGATAACTAAGACAACAGGCTTCCAAAGAGGAAAAGATCAACCCAGCGCTGAAGCAGCACAGCGACTCGCCCCTGCTTTGCAAAGGGCTGTCGCCATCCTGGCATGTTAGGAAGCTTCGTCCTTGAACACCTGGAGGGAGGAAGCAAGTTTGCAGGCTGGAGCAGATGCCCCACGCATGCCATCTTGTGGCTACCAGGACGGGCTGCATTCCAGTGGGTGAGAAGGGGTACAGGCAGAGGATCCAGCCAAGCTCTATGCTCTACTATAGTACATTTGATTTAGACGCAAAATGGCAATAATATGAATTTCTGGGGAGCACAACTCTATCAAAACATCCACCTTCTCAGTAACAGCTGATTGTGGTGACCCACTGCCTGGAGAGAAGCTGGGGCTGTGAGGAGGGTGACGACGAAGGAAGCCTGAATTCTAGCCATCCTCCCTCGCATCACTCCTTTAGCTCTGGCTAAAAACACTTCTTACTGTGCTGTGCCTCAACAAAGAACACCGCTGGCCTATTTCTGCCCTACTCCCGGCCTAGGAATAAACCCAGAACAAAACCCCCAACAACCAAACCTGAAGCAACAAAATGTGAAATGGAGAAACTGCAAGCTGGCATGCAGGAAAAAGAGCTAAAAAACACTGACTGCCGCACTGTTTGCCTACAGAGACAGTGCCCACAAAATGGCTCAGGCCAAGGCCCCTGCCCGTGTTGTATGGACCAGTGTCCTTGACCACAGCCACAGAGAGTGGGGAATACAGAACTGACCCATCAGAAGCACAATGAAGGACCATGGCCGGGAGTTACCAACACCTACAGCCATCACCTCAAACAGTGGTCTGCAACAAGCAAAGACAGAGGCTCCTGGGAAACTTCACTAGGGCTGGGCAGCAGACAGGTGGTATACTGGGGCGGGGCAGGGGGAGCTGGCAAATTTCATGATGACCAAGGTAGGCAAGGGCCCACATACGGGTCACAAGACCTAGGCTAGACAATTGTCCACAAGCTATCCAGAGATGGACAACGGAAATTAGAAGAGAAATACGTTTAGAGAGGCTTAGAAACTTGGTCACACTCACAAAGAGAACAAACCTCAGAGCTAGGTCCACCTAACTCCGCATCTCACTCACTCCCTGGACCTCTGGTCATTCCATTCCAAGTTACCTTCTTCAAAAAGAGCCACCAGGTGCTACAAAGAAGCTGCCAAGCTGACTCTGACAGGAAGACAGAGATAGCCCAACTAAACGAGGTTCGCAGGAAATCCCACCCCACTGCCCAGAATCTGCCCCTCGCGCCTGAATCAACACCAAGGGGCTGCCTTTTTGTGGCTCTCCCCTCTCCTGCCTGTCCTCCCTCTGATGGAGGGAGCAGAGGAGAGCAAAGGGTCAGCTAGAGCTAGTATGGTGCCTTATGCCCCCCTGGAAACCCAGGCAGATGAGTAAAGATGGGGCCCAGCAACAGAAATGCTGCCTGCTGGAAGGGCAAGCAGAACCAACGAGGAAGGTCAGAGGACAGAGCTACAGTCAGAACTTGCCCTCGCTGCCTGCCCTGACCACACAGCATTGTGTCTGATGCACAGGGTGGATTTAGGGCCAAGGCTCTTGTTTCTGGGACCGCAGAGCTCCAGGGCACGACCCATGGCAGGCCCAGGACCTGTGAGAGAAGTCTTTTTAGTGTCCCATCAAAGGAAGGGGTATGACACAACTGGGGCTGGAGCCCAAAGACCAGCTACAGGTCCCATTGCCCAGTAATAGTTAACAAGTACCTACCTACCAGGGGCATGCTCTCAGCCTGTCGAGCTAGGTAAGTAACCCAGATGCCATCCCTGCCCTCCAAGAGTCTATGGGCCAGGTGGGGAATGAGCAACAGACAATTAAACAAATGAACAATCATTAAGTTGAATGACATGTAACTTGTTTTTTTAGGTCAAAATTGGTCACATATAACAATTTCATATGGTTCAGTGTAATTAGAAGTTGTCTTAAATACAAAGAAATTCAGCAGAACGCAGTAATTAAGAATAACAAGGGGCATGAGACCAGAAGAACTGGATGGTACACGGCTACCGTTAGTGAACATTTTCATCAACGATTCCATAGAAGAATCCTGATCAAAATGGGGGAAATGCAGACCAGAATTTCAAATTCTCACAGACTCCAGACTTCCTGGAGCCATGGAGGGTGGATGAATCCCTGAAACTATTGCCCTGAGATAATCTTTAAACCTTAAACCAAAAATATTCCCTGAGACCATAGTTTCAGGGAACATTTAGCTCAACTGGCATAACATAGTTTATAAAAAAAAATGTCCTACATTCTACTTTGGTGAGTAGCGTCTGGGGTCTTAAAAGCTTGTGAGTGGCAATCTAAGATACTCCACCAGTCTCACCCTGTCGGATACAAGGGAGAATGAAGAAAACTAAAGACACAAGGGAAAGATTCGTCCAAAGGACTAATGGAACACAACTACCACAGCCTCCACCAGACTGAGTCCAGCACCACTAGATGGTGCCCAGCTACCACCACCAACTGCTCTGACAGGGATCACAGTAGAGGGTCCTGGACAGAGTTGGAAAAAAATGTAGAACAAAATTCTAACTCACAAAAAAAGAAAGAAAGAAAGAAAAGAAAAAGACCAGACTTACTGGTCCAACAGAGACTGGAGAAACCCTGAGAGTATGGCCCCCAGACACCCTTACAGCTTAGTAATGAAGTCACTCCTGAGGTTCACCCTTCAGCCAAAGATCAGATAGGCCCATAAAACAAAATGAGACTAAAGGGGCACATCAGCCCAGGGGCAGGGACTAGAAGGCAAGAGGGGACAGGAAAGCTGGTAATAGGGAACCCAAGGTCGAGAAGGGAGAGTGTTGACATGTTATGGGGTTGGTAACCAATGTCACAAAACAGTAAGTGTACTAATTGTTTAATGAGAAGCTGGTTTATTCTGTAAACTTTCATCTAAAGTACAATAAGACAATAAATAAAAATTTTATATAT